ACCTGGCCTTTTTTAATCGACCAGTGAGAACGGTACGAGAACGACGCCCCTGACGTAACTGGTAGTCAATCCCGAGGTTGCGACACGAGAACTTGACAGCACCAGCGAGACGTGGAGTTTCAGCTGCGATGCTCTGGGCCAACTGGGGGTCGGTAGCCAAGAGCACGATTTTCTTTTCGGAGAGCGGTAAACATGCCGAGAAAGACAGCTTGCCCATCAAAAGGTGTGACGCATCGGGACCGATTTTGAGCAACTCCCTCTCCGAGCCTACCCCCGGGACCTCCCAGGACCTGGGCGTCGTCGGCGACGAGGCCGAGGTGCATATTAGGATATGACTGACGAAACGAATCCAGCTCGGGCATCAATAAAATACGCATAAACAGATCGGCAAATGAGCAACCTGCCACAATAGTCTTGCTAGCTCTGACCCACTCCCCAACGATTCGCCGCAGCGTGACAACGCGCGGGGAACGATGCAGAGACAGGCAAACCCTCCAGAGAGCAGGATGAAAAGCCAAACTCACTAGCACGTCTTATGAGAAGTTTATGGCGAACCTTTTCGAAAGCCTTCTGGATGTCGAGCAAGAGTGCAAACGCAGACAAACCTTTGGCGGAAGCCAACTCCGTGAGCACGCGCATGCGCCACGCACATGCTTGGCAGGAATGGCCGCGCACACCAAAACACGTGCGGACGAGGATGCAAGCGCGTCCACATAGCACCGTGCGCGTGCCTGAAGAACCGAGAGAACGTGCGCACACACGTCGTGAATAGGGCAACCGTGCGCTCGCCACCATCAGCCTTCGGGATCAAATTCATGGTGAACACAGCGAGAATGGGAGGAAATCTACCCAATCGCAGGACAGCACGCCAGATACCAAACAAGGCAAGAAGAGATGAGTCAGAAAGCAGCGCATGATGACGTGGATGCATAGAGTCCAGTCCGACCGACGTACGAGCTTTGTACCTGCGACACATCTGCCTGTACTTGTCCAAGGACGGGTGGGGCAAGGATGCAAGGCAGTCGGGCGGAAACGGCGGGGAATCCAGGGCCAGGCAAGGATCGTCAGGGTGCTCTTGCATGGGCTCCCAGATAGCATGCCAAACTCCTTCTCGCGCCTTAAGATGATGCTGCGGCGTACCGGCTGGGGCATCTGGGTCGAACCCAAACCTGGTTCGGGGTGGTCTTGTCAGAGGAAGCCCAATCCATAGATCCTTTGACGAAGCGGTGCGCAGCATAACCCCCTTCCTGGACAGATCGGATGGCCCATGATGTCCAGGATTGGTATCTCTGTGCAGATGCTGCGCGTTCCAGAGCAGATGCGGACTCAGCCAAGACGCCCCGCAGCCAATCTATGGAACCAAGATCTAGGGTAGCAGGCCTGTTGGCATAGTACCTCCACCATGACCAATCGGGGGAAGGCCACCATCACGCTGCGAAGGACGATGCCGCCGCAGGGCTTGACATGCTCTCCGATAAGCGGGCCACAACTGCTTGTCAGCAAGATATAGAAGAGTGCCAAGAGGGTTAGAGAGATACCTCCAGAGCCTTCCTTCATATGACGAAAGCACACCTCCAGGAAACAGTCTGGAAACCGAAATCTGGTTAGTCGAGGGGGGCTCACCCCACTTGGTGTAATCCTGCGGGTCTGGCAACTGGAAAAGGGCAAGCAACTCCTGGGCAGACGTCTTCAGCCAAGAAGAGGTAAGACGCTCCAAACCTTCCACAGTGTTGACTGCGTCAGGCTCAGGAAGGGCATCCCAGGAAGGCGGACAATTTGAACACCCCACTGGCCGAATAACAGGGATGTGCGGCGGGCGCCGAAAAACATGCACCAAATCAGAGTGAAGATTTCCACGAAGGGTGAGAGCGACAGGCTGATGCTTGGGGATCAGGGGGGTCTCCCAGACCTCACACTTAACAGCTGCCGAGAGCAAGGGGTGAACCACAAAGTAGTCAATCAAAGACTGGGCACCCGCGGACTCATAGGTATGGCGATCTGGCGCGACAATGACCCCACCTATGAGCGTTAAGAAGTCCGTATTCTGCAAGTCCTTGGGGGACATATTCCAATCCCCTGATATAATAAAGGGGGTGGATATGGTCTTCATGACTGCTGCCACCTGCATCAGCAACTGGGCATTGCGATCCTCAGCGCCTTCCCCCGTGTGTAAGTAGACATTGGCCCAAGGGATACCTGGATCCACGACCCCATGCCATAGCTTTAGGATAAATCTCTCTGGGGGGGGCATGACAACAATCGGATCCAATACAACTTCAGAGAAGGACCTGGCATACTGCGAGACAAGGCCCACTCCTGAACTCAATCCACCTTTCTGAGTACTAATTGAGGGGTGGGGGTGCGCATGGAACCCATGCTTGTGAGCACGGTTGACTGCGAACTCGATAGCCTCTTCAGTACGACAGAGTTCTTGAAAACCGACAGCATCAAACCGATCAGAATAGGCCTCCAGGAAAATATCGGCATTGGACCAGGAGGTGACGTTCACAGTAACGATGACCCAGTCCCGACGAGGCTTCTGAACGAAGGCTGACTTGTCGGGCGGGGTCTGCGATGTGCTAAAGGTCAGACGGGCCCATGGGATTGGAGCCCTCCACCACAGCTGGGGTGTCGGCGGGGCCAGCGGTGGCGGCAGCCGACGGCGAAAACCTTCCTGACTGTCCCGGCTGATCAACTGCAACATCAGGGGCATGAGCAAGACGTTTCGGCGCAGGCGGCAGTGAGGGAGAGGTGCGGGGAGGAGCCCTGGCAACGCGTGTTGGGGAACCTTGCTGGTCGACAGACATCCTGGGTTCCTCAGACTGAGACCGAGGCTCTCTGGCAATACCAACAGGAGCATAGCCAGACATAACGATACCCTGGAGGTCACGCAACGCCTGAGCAAGCTTCTTGTCTCTCTGCGCTGCCTGGGAAGCTGCGAAGACGTCCGCCACGGCAGAGAGATCTGGGGGCGTGAAACCCTCAGGACCTGGCTCGCTCGACGGGAGATCCTGCAACTTAGCCTGCCACATAGCCATATCCTGAGCGACCCGCTCCTGACGAGAGCAGAGGGCGTCCCTTTCGCTCTGAAGGTCCAGGATTTTACGATCGAGCTCACGGATCTGGCTAGGGATCTTGTCAAACTTCTTACTGGCCCAGTGATGGCGCTGCTTGTAGAACGCACGCTTCTGGGGGACGGTAAGCATGTCGGGCTTTTGTGCTCGGAGATGCTGCAACTCGTCCTGGAGACTCGAAACCTGATCGAGAACATACCTGGTCGGCGGAAGCAGGCGGAGGGAATCCAGCTGGCCCAACAGGGCCTTGATAATCTGGTCAATTTGCGCAACCGAGAGCTCATTGCCATTGGTGTCGACACAGCCGCCATCAACGTCGTCGTCGACATAGTCAGCCCAGAAACCACGATTGCTGCCAATACCGTCGTCGCCAGAGTCAGATCCAAACCTATCCTGCACTTCATCATCCAATGGAGCCTGAAGACGTTCATCCAACGACCGAACTGGGGGAGTGGCAGAACCGTCAACATCATGACGATCATGGAAACGAGCACGGGGAGGGGACACGACAGGCTCATTGCGCCTGCCTTTGCTCCTTCCTTTCTTTCCTTGGACCTGTCCTTTGGAGCGGCCAGGAAAGGGAGTACTGCAAAACTTACACTTTTGGCGGGGGGTGGTGTCGGGGATCCACGAAGTCTTGCCAGCATCGCGACAGACGAGACAGACGAGATATCCCATTGCGCGCCCCGCGCAACTATGTGGGCGGCACACGCGCCGAAATCGTCCGAGCCTGCCGCACGGCTGCGGACAAGCTCGAAGCCTCGCGGCAAGGTTTCGAACTTGAGCCAAAATGGCTACGGAACCTCTTCTGCTCTGGAGAGAGAGGGGCGCCTTTGGGGCAGCTTCGGCGAGGTGGATTCGTAGCGTTGGGGGTGCGCGCGAATTTGGTGTAATTTGCAGGGGTGGGTCGTGGCTTCGGGGACGCGAACGCAGCGTAATTAGCAAGGGATCGTGGTCTGGGGGGCGCGACAGCGGCGTAATTTTCAAGGGATCGTTGCCTCGGGGGCGTGAGTGTGGCGTAATTCGCGTGGGATCGTGGCCTCGGGGGCGCAAGTGCGGCGTAACTTACGAGGGACCGTGGCATGGGGGGGGAATGTGGAACCCACCGCCGAATTTTCTAGAACCGGGGGGGGCAAACAATACCAGCGGCGCACATATCCCAATACAGAAAATTACCGTTTTTCTGCTGTGGAGAGGGGGGGCGCCTTTTCGGCAGTCTCCGCAATGCGGATTCGTGGCCTCGGGGGCGCGCCCGCTGCGTAATTTGCAAGGGATCGTGGCGTCAGGTGCGCGAATTCGTTGTAATTTACGAGGGATCGTGGCCTCGGGGGCGCGAGAATGAAGTACATTACATAGGATCGTGGCTTCGGGGGCGCGAGCGGGGTGTACATTGCGCAGGATCGTTGCCTCGAGGGCACGAACGTGGATTCGCTTACGAAGGATCGTGGCCTCGGAGACGCAACTGCAGCGTAAATTACGACGGATCGTGGCCTCGGAGACGCGAATGCGGTGTAATTTACGCGGGATCGTGGCCTCGGGGGCGCGAGTACAGCGTAATGTGCGAGGGATTATGGCTCGGGGGCACGAAGCTGCAGTATTTTCACGTGTCCCACGCCCCCCCAGAAGTTCTGAGAACCCTGGCAGGGGACGCTGACCAGGGCCCTTTTCGGTCCCCCCCTCTCGCGGACAGTAGCAATTTACAGTAGGAGGAAGTAGAAAGCAGTACTGTAACAATGGGAACTGGAAGCTGGAACAGGTGCAGGGAGCAGCAACCTTAATCCTCGCAGCCTGATGGCCCCGCAAGGGGGCCGGCGGATCAGAACGCTCTGTAGGGGAGGGCTGTTGATTAGAGTGGGAGAGAGCGCGCGAGTGTGGGATTTCGTGGGCAGGGGAGGGCGCGACGCCAGTATACTCATTCGCAAAGAGGGGCTCGGTGGATTTCAGCGATCACTGCGGGCTGTACGACACCGACAACTTCACTGCCGCTGCAATGTGCTGCATCTGTCAGGGGGCGTGCGTGGACAATTCGTCGTGGACTCATTGGAGATTCAATGTGGGTACTTCAGACTGTGAAGAGGCGGCTCCTCTTCCTCCTCTTCCTCCTCCTACTCCTCCTCTCATCCTGCTTCGAGGTGGCGCGAAATACACATTGGTGCTGGGAGTATGGCTTTTCTGATCTAGTGTCCCACGCATGCCCCATGAGTTGTCGTAGTTGCCAGCAGTTGTTGGGGTGGAGTGTCTGCATGGAGCCTAGCTCCTTGGCGCCTGTTTGCAGCAATCTGCCAGAGGGAAGTGCGAACAAAGATGCCAGGGATGACACTTGTGACCAGTATGAGGATTACAGCGTTATTTGCTTCGAGCTGGTGAATCTTTACGAATGCCCGTGCTATTATGACGACCATTCTGGTTGCGATCTACCTGGATGTACGATGAATATGCAAGTCGGGCAGATGTGTGAAGCTGACGCAGATCTTCCTAATGGAGACCCCAGTATATTTGAGCAAAAAAACTGTTGGGGAGATTATGATGTCTGGAGGGCGGTCAAGTGTGTTGCACCTCAACAGGAATACGCACACCATGAACGTAGCTGTGTGAGTCAAGGGGGCATGAGCATCGTCGCAGGGGTGTCCGTTGCTGCTTGCGCAGCACTGTGTGACGAATTTTCTGTATGTTTGGCCTTCAACTATGGTGTAGACTACGGGCTCGAAGCTGCAGTGCCTCAGCCAGGCGATTGTCAATTGATGATGTCGTCCAATCGTACCGGTTGCCCTGAGGAGTACTACAATCTTGACCTTTATATCAAGATGTCATGTCACAAATTGGCCGGCCATAGCCAGTGCTTGAGCAGCGAGTTCTGTTCCGTCTCCGGGGCATGCGAGAGTTGCGACATGTGTGAGTGCCTTGGTGGCTTCGACGGCACGTGTGGAAATTGCGCCCCCGCACCTTTCAGAGAAACTTGTGACCCGGTTGCGTACCAGTCAGATCACATGGGCCCCCTTACACCGTGGCTCTCGGGTTTCAACTTCTTTGGGACCGAGGAGGACTATACCCGCGTCATCTGCAGTGGTCCGGTGGGCAGCTGGGATGCCGGCTCTTGGGGAGCAAAGATCCCGATACGTCCCGCTACTCTGTATCGTTTAACCGATCCCTATCCCCATTCTCATCCCCATCACGATCGCCACCATCCTACCACCCCAGTTGGGGAAATACCCCTCGAAACCCGAAGGCAATCGCCTATTTCCCATCTCGGCGGTACATCGGCCAGTGTGGCCCAGGCCACGCCAGTGGGGATAGGGATCAGCTAAACGATGCTCAGCTATTCATTGGACTTCTGCTGGGGTGCGTTCTGACCAGGATGCCGAGGCGAGTCCAGCATTGGCGACAAGGGCCCCCCAAAACCCCCGCCCCCCCCCCCCCCCCGAGCAGTGCAAACCACGGAAGGGCCTCCGTATCGGTGTCAGTTCCCCTCCTCTCAGGGTTCGGCGGCTGCAGCACCTACGATCCGAACGTGTCCTGCGAGCTCGAGTGGGATACCATTGGTGGGCCTGTGTTCCACCACCACCACCAGAAGTCGGAGGGGGGAAGGAGGTGGAGGAGGCGGAGGTGGACGAGGAGGAGGAGGAGGAGGAGGAGGAGGAGGAGGAGGAGGACCCCTCCCCCTCCTGCTCATGGTGGTGGTGGTGGCAAACAGGCCCACCACCCATGGGGCCGTGCTCCGAGAACCACGCCGCGTGCTTCCTCCACGTGGCCGCGAATGGGCTCTCGGCGGCCCAGGCCCCATTCCTCGCGCCTCCCCTTCCCCCACCTCCCGCGCGGTGCGTTGTCCCTCTCCTCCCCCTCCCCTCCTCCTCCTCCTCCTCCTCCTCCCTCCTCCTCTCCTCCTCATCCTCCTCCTCCTCTGCCTCCTCCTCCTCCTCCTCCTCCTCCTCCTCCTCCTCCTCCCCTTGTTTTGCCTCCCGTCTCCGCTCGTGCATCTGTTTCCTCGTTTGTCCATTCACCGCAGCCGCTGGCACGAGGTCAGTGTGTTCGGGACGAGTGCCCGTGCGCTGATGTAACAACGAGTAGTCTGACTTCTGCTTTGTTGTCTTGAGATTGGCTACAATGGAGACCCGTGACAAGAAGCACCCTGCCTGCCTCCAGGGTGACATGGTTTCTTATGCCTCGATGGTCTTGCGACGGAGAGCGTGACGTTTCCACACCAAACACCTGTGCACGTCCTGGGGTCTCAGGGTTGGGTTTCTTGTGGAAGATCTCTTGTGATGGGGCCCAAACTGTATTCATCTTGGCCTCGTGTTGTGATGTTCCAACCTACTGTAGCCTTGACCATGAGAGAATTTCCAGCACCAAGGCAGACCCGAATCTGGAGGGTTTCCGCGTGTCGGGCCCTGGGAGACACTCGTTCGACATTGCATCGACACTGCTTCGACACTTGTTCGACACTTTTCAGGGTGCTCGAACTTATTTCTGGGATGTGGGCCTTCACTACGATGGGAACAACATAAGCCGCGTGCTTCCTCTACGTGGCCGCGGAGGGGCTCCTGGCGGCCCAGGCCACCGCCTCCCCCAGCGCTTTTTTCCTCCCCCCCGCCTCGGCGGGACCTGCTCGGTCTGCCCCTATCCCTCGACTCGACTTCGAGCGAGGAGGGGAGAGCGAGAGGGAGAATGCTCTCTGTCCGTAGTTCTCTCTCGATAATAAGGAGAAGGCGAATGATAGTATTAAGTTGGGCCTGTCCCTCTACAGGAGGAGTATTCAAACATGGTTAAGAAATAGTACGGGGACTAAATTTCGGTGTTTTTGGTGTACTTTTGAGTATGTTTAATCCGCCCGTAGGGGAACACGCCCGACCGAACGATAAGAATACTAAGAAGATGAATAAGAGGAGTCATAATCCTATGAATAATAATAAGAATAAGAAGAACTCAAACACCGGCATCAACATAAACTTGGACGCGCCGCGCGGATTTTTTGGATCTGCGTTGGGGCCCCCCTGGCGGTGCCTCTGGTGCCGCCCCTGGCGCGCTCCGTTTGCCAGGGAGGGGTGTCCAGCGCAGATCCTAGAAATCAACGCGGAGCGCGGAAAGTTTATGCTTGTGCCGTTTCTTCTTTCTCTTTTCTCAGAGGGCGGCAGGATTTTACAGACGGGGGCCGTCTTGGGGCGATCTTGGGGGCCTCTGGGTCCGTCTTGGAGCGTCGGTGAGCCGAAAAGGCGAGAAGGCCCAAATCAGTCAAAACCAACAGAATCTACACGACTTGTACCTCTTGGGGTTGGCCGCCTTGGGGCCTCTTGGGCCGTCTTGGGGCCGCTTGCGGCGTCTTGGAGCGATCGTTCGGCGTTTCGGGGAACTCTTGGACCAGCTTGGGGTTGGGGGCCTCTTCGGGCCCTCCTGGTCCGCCTGGGGACCCGCGCGCCCCAGACAAAGTCCGGCGGGAAGCGGCGCCACGCGGCGCCGAGCCCGGAAGAGTTGTCGGAATTTGCGTTCCGGGCCCCTTCGAGACTCCTCGGGGCTGAGGGCTGAGGCTTGAGGGATCGTGCAAATGGCCAGAGGACACGCCCACTCCGGGTCCAGAGGCACGGTGGGGAATAGACGTTTAGCTATACATAGTTTGATCTCTGATAGTTATATAACCGCATGCCGCGGATAATAAGCACAGGGATAATAAAGTTCGGGGTTTTCGGGGAGATAATAAAAGTTGCCCGCCAGAGCCAGCATGAAGAGATATCAAGAGGAAAAAGCCAACGATATCTTGAGGATCCTTGGTCTTTGGTCCTTTATGAGACATCCTCAACAATGATTTGTCTCGGTTGAGACATCCTCAACGAATTGCTTGTTTCGCTTGAGGCATCCTCGAAATATTTGTCTGCTTCGCTTGAGACATCTTCAAATTATTGCTTATTTCGCTTGAGACATCCTTGAAATCATTTCTTGTTTCGCTTGAGGCATCCTCGACAAATCGCTCGTTTCGCTTGAGACATCCTTGAAATCATTGCTTGGTTCGCTTGAGGCCTCGTTTTCCCAGGATAATCAACCACAGCGATAAACAAGTTCAGGGGGGCAGGGGGAGGAGAAGAAAGATAGAGAGATACATAGAAAGATAGAAAGAGAAGAGGAGGTAGAGGAGGAAGAGGAGGAGGAGGAGGAGGAGAAAGAGCAAGAGGAGGAGAGGAGAAGGAGATAGCAAACATCCAAAGTTTAAAACTTACTAGATTTAATATGTAAACGCTTAATGAACATCAACATGTTCATCTGCTCGTGTAGGGTAGCTCATGTGCCTCGTTTTCCTAGGATAATCAACCCCAGCGATAAACAAGTTCAGGGCGCCAGAGGGAGGAGGAGGAGAAAGAGATAGAGAGACAGAGAGAGAGAGAGACAGAGAAATAAATATAGACAGAAATAACTACAAAAAGACAGAAGGACATTGGTTTCGCTTGAGACATCCTGAAAAAAAAAAACGTGTTCGCTTCGCTTGATGTTGTTATATCAACATAAGAAGGAAGTAACCTCGATGGCGAATTTTCCCAGTGATAATGAAGTTCGGCCTCCGCGCCCTCCGCCTATATTTGAAGAAGCCCTTCTAGGCCGACGATACAAAAAAAACTATAAAAATTCTCGAACGACTTAAGGGGGGGGGGTACTTTATTATCCTCGGCATGGGGTTATTTATATATATATATATATATGTAGATATAGAAAAACATCTCTCTCTCTATATACATATATATAGAGAGAGAGAGAGAGAGAGAGAGAGAGAGAGAGAGCAGGCCCGGGGCCCGAAAACAGCTGCCCCGACCCTCCATGGGGGGACCAGGGCTCATTTTCTTTATGTCTCGGAGGCCGCCGCCTCCGACGCCCCATCGGAGGACGGGGCGGCGGGGGAGGCCCAATAATATCCCAGGAGGGCCTCCGGAGGCTCCCAAGACGGCCCAAGCGGGCCCCGAGTCGCCGAAAGACCGCTCCAGGACGCCCAAGATAGGCCCAAGACGGCCCGAGAGGCCCCCCAAGGCACTCCACGACGCTTCAAGACGCCTCTCCGGAGCGCTTCAAGAGGCCGAAATCGTCCATTGTACTAAGGTTTTCGAACGATTTTGGCCTTCCAGCCTTTTCGGCTGTCCGACGTTCCAAGACGGCTCAATAGGCCCCCAAGAGCGCCCCAAGACGGCCCAAGAGGGCCCCAAGACGGCCCCAGAGTCGCCCAAGACAGCCCAACAGAGCCCCAAGACGGCCCCAAGATGCGCCCAAGAGGGGGACCACGACTCCAAAATTCGACCCTCCCGCTTGAAGAGTGCCCCAGGAGGCCCCAAGGAGCCCCCAAGAGGCCCCAGGAGGCCCCCAAGAGGCACCCAGGAGGCCCAAACGAGGCCTAAAGAGGCCACAAAACAGCCCCGAGGAGGCCCCACAACGGTTCCAAAACGGCTACCGAGGTCTCTGACCCACCACCCAGGGCACGGTGGCGGGAGCAGTGACAGCACTTGTGCACAGCATGTTCCGGCGGGAGCCTTCCGGAACACGCTGCAGGAGGGGGAGGATGGTCAGGAGGAGAGAGAGTTGGAGTGGGAGGAGGAGGAGGGGGACGAGGAGGAGGAAGAGGCCTCCCAGAGAGCTCCAAGATAGCCGAAGAGGCTTCCAAGAGGGCCCCGGGCGGCCCACGAGGGCCCCAAGGCGGTGCCTGAGGCGCCCAAGACGGCCCGAGAGGGCCCCAAGACGGCCGCAAGAGAGGCCCAAGACGGGAAACACGAACCGAGAATCCGAGCTTTCTACCCCGAGAGAGGTTCTCGGGAAGTCCCAAGAGGCTTCCAATCGGATCCAAGAGGCCCCCAATAAGCTCCCAAGAGGGCCGACGAGGTTCCAAGAGATCGCCCAAGGTGGCCCCAAGAGGCACAACTCATTGTTTTACGATTGGGCTTTGACGGGTTTAAATGTTTTCTGCCTTTTGGCATCCCGATGCTCCAAGACGGCCCAAGAGGCTTCCAATACCGCTCCCATACATATAGAGGAAGAGGCCTCCAAGAGGGTCCCAAGACGGCCCGCGAGGGCCCCACGACGGTGCTTGAGGCGCCCAAGACGGCCCGAGAGGGCCCCAAGAGCCCCAAGAGAGGCCCAAGAAAGGGAACGCGACCCAACAGCAGAGCGGCCCCCCCCCACAAGGCCCACAGGAGGCCGCAAGAGGCCCCCAAGTGGTCCGACGAGGACCCCAAAAGCTTCCCGAGGTATAGGAGACGTCCAAGAGGCTTTGAAATAGCCCAAGAGTGCCCTCGATGCGTCAAACTGGTTCCAGGAGGCCCCCGGGAGGCTTCTGGATTGCCTCAATCTGGCCGCAGGTGGCCTCAAGTCGGGCCTCCACGCAGCCAAGACGGCCAATGACGGCTTCAGATTGCAGAACCGATGCCCCCAAGGGACCCTCAGACGCCCCCCCAAGAAGCACCCAAGAGGTGCCTCCAACAGCCAGTTGACGAAGCATGCGGAGCACCCCAGAAGCTCCTCAGATGCCGTCGCGCGCCTGTGCTTGATAGCGATGTCCAAGATCGTCCAGCGCCCCTTCGGCCTGGGCTAGAACCTGAGCGCGCGCGAAGCGCGCGCGATGGTTCTAGCCCAGGGGCCCGAAAGCAGTTGCCCGAACTTCCATGGGAATACCGGGGCCTCATTTTCGCAGTGTTTTTACTGGGTTTCGGCGTCCCGGGCCTCGGGGGCCGCCGCGATGGTCCCGGACATGTTCCAGATCCTCGGCGCGGGCTCCAAGACCATTCCGCAGAGGGCTCCAACAGGCTCCAGGGCAG